CAGGGAGTGCCTGATCTGTACCAGACTGAAAAGACCGCCAGTGCCGGCTCACGAAGTGCCCACTAGGACACTCGATGCCCCCACGGCCTTCGACGTGGTTTCGCTGGATCACGTTGGGCCGCTCCACTACCGAGGCAGCCAGTGGTGGTTTTTGGTCATGGTGGATCACGCCACAAGGTTTATGGTGACCAAAAACCGCCCTCAACCTGGAAGCCGCGCACACCTACAGCCTATTCTTCGCGAACTGGGTGGCCTACTTCGGCGTGCCAAAGGCAGTACTTACAGACCGGGGAACGAGCTTCCGCGGGGAATTCCATGAGTACGTAACTGCTCTGCTGGGGTGCCAGCACATCACAACAGCACCCTACCGCCCGCAGGGCAACGGGCTGAATGACTCGTCTCACCAAGGCCTGAAGGCAACGCTGGCCGCCATGTGGCAGGAAGGCCGCTACGACCTGGGTTACACCTTGGAGGCAGTCGTCAGTGCGTACAACAGCACGCCACACGCCAGCGTGGGGACCAGCCCTTATGAGGCGTTGTTTGGGCGACCACCGTATTTCGCGCGGTGTCCCGCAGGAGGTGGAGCGGCGCCAGGTGCTGGACAGGCTTGCCCAGGTGCGGATGCGTCGGATCCTGCTGCGCGGCAGGCAGTTGGAGCCACCACGCAAGCCGGAGACCAATGCCGGGGACATCGTGGAGACGGAAGCCGCGTCCGCGGCCCTCAACGGGCAGGACAGCCCTACGTGGATGACGCCCTGCTGGTCGATGCCAATGCGAGTGACGAGTGTCGCGCATACGCAGGTGGCTGTGGAGAGCTACAACGAGAAGGGGAAGACCTTCACGGTGCACAAAGACAAGGAACGAAAGTTCGCAACCAGCCAGGACCCGCTGCTGCGCGACATCACGATGCGGTACGTGGTGTCGCAGTTAGGAGTGGCGCGGTCGCCACCCGCGGGCCCAAGTAAGCACCCTAGAGAGGGGGCTCTCCCGGCCGAGCAGCTCACCGCGGCCCAAGTGCGAGAGCTGTTTGGGCTGGGTGCGTCCACCGATGCCTTACCGGAGCAAGTAACAAATCTGCGGGCGGCGGGCCGACTACCATCTTTGTCCTTTGGTGGCTGGTTCACGCTCTACCTACCCAGTCTTCCAGATTAGTGAACGACCTGCGTGGGGTTTTTCACCCGTTTCGCACCGCGAGGGTTTTTCACACGTTTCGCAGGTACGATTTCAGCCGATGCCGACCGCACCCCTCGCGGGCCTTGCGGGTGCGAGTGCACGAGTGACCACAGCAAAGATAAAACAGTTACCGATATTCTTGGCCACCCCATAAACGGGAACTGAGCCGAACGCCTCATTGGACGACTTGGGTATCAGCCCACACGCTAGCGCTCCACCATTCGAGCAAATCGCGACGAGGCGTGTGGAGTGCGATGGTATGCGGCCGTGCTATCTCCAGCATGGACATATCCGCTGTCACATTGCACGACCTGGCGAATCGACAAATGCACCGAAAGTGAGAGCGGTGAATCCCAGCCGACGCCATCCAGTTTCCGACTACGCTATTGACGGACTGTTCTGGGCTCTCTGTTATTAGACTGACGCTCTAACCTACTGAGCTACATGACCGCTGTCCATTTTTCCTCATGTCCCTACGATCGTCATACCTTTCCTTCACCGCATCCCCACTTGGGTCCGGCAATGAAGATCTTAAGTCTTCCCCTTTAACCTCTCTAGAGGCAATGGTGGTTGTTGAACGAGATAGCCAGAAAACTGATGCCCACCGCCACACACGGTGGGTACAGCAAGGCGATTGGTGTGGTGCAGTGGGGAGCAGTGACAAAAGCGGCAATCGAACCGTCAGTTGAAGTCGTCGCAGATGTTCACCCCACTTACCTACGGACGGTGGCAATCGGTTGCTCGAGCTACCTGTTTTATTT